TGGTGGGTTAATTATTGAAGTAAACACTAAACTAGAAGTTATGACAAAAATTAATGATTTCATGTTTCTGAGTATTAGCCAGTTCTTAGTGTAAATGAAAAATAAAATTGATCGTCAGTCCACATATTTAGTGTGATGATGTTATTCAACTGAGATACACTTACGATGTGTTATTTTTCATAGAATTATATAAGAAAAAATTTGTCGTATCTTCATCGTACCTATATCGCATAAGTATAGCGGAGGTAGTGTCAAGACACATAATTAACTGATAGAAAATTGCACATCTCGGATTTGTCTATCTCAGACCGGGCTATCTCAAATAAAGAAATGGTTTGAGAATCAAATTTCACTAAAATTGAATCGCATATTCGTATTGTATAAAGTTATTAAATCTAATAGGTCTAAATCTCTAAATACAATATAATTCCCATAAACGCTATAAATAGGTCGTATAAATGACTACCTTAAGTGAAAGACGTGGAACCAATTGTACTGATGCTGAATGGGATGAATATGTAGAGATGCCACAAGTTTGTGATAATGAAACTCCCAGTGAGTGGGTGAAACGGATTTGGCCTCACTTACAGTATTTTAGAGAAAATAATCTCTTACCTAACAAAAGATACTTTGAAGCCAGAAAATTAAGAACATACTGGTCTGAAGTTAATGGATTTTGGAAAAGCTCTGCACCTGAAATTGGAATTGCTATCTGCTTCTCTTGTGATCAATTGGTATATATCAGGAAACGAACCAAAAATATTGGTAATTATAATCATATAGGAATAGAGAGGCATTGGGCTGCTCATTGTACTGGAAATAGCTTTTGTGATGTAAGTTATAATGAATATTTACTGAGAATTGAACGAAAATCTAATTCAGGATATAATTATGATAATGAATATGCATTACATAGATATGAATTATGGATGTCCAATGCTATTAAGAAGATTAAGCGTGCTAGAGAAGCTGGTAAAAAAATCAGAGCATGTAAAATTATACAACGTAAATTTATTGAATGGTATTATCGCCCCTCTGGCTTATGTGCTTCAGAATTAGCGAAACATTATAAAATATTATGGGAAGTTAGAGAAGAAATGCGACAAATTAGTCAGGTATAACTTTTAATTTATTGAAACATATCTATTTATTCGATTTAATATATCTATTTTTTCAGAATTCTATAGAATTCGACAGAATTTTTCCGAAATATATACAAATGAAATTCAATCAAGCATATATAAATCTGGTATAGTAACTGCCTCCCTCATTGGTGGAAGAAGTGTGGAGGCGCTTAACTATGAGAAAGCGAAATCCTTTGACAGAGTTGGAAGCATGCGGTATAAATCCAAATATTGAAGATTTTTTACATGAGATTACAGTTTATACTAGAAAGAAAAAACGCCAGCGCCGGAGCTCATCACCAGTTGAAAATTTATCCAATAATAACAAAGTTAGTGTCAAGACACATATAAACATGGCCGATCAGGAAACTCAAACTTTAGATACAAATTCACGCGCCTGCAATCACGAGGAAGAGATCAATCGTCGTGTCAAGAAAGAAGTATATATTTTATTTCGACGATTACTTGAATATAATGAGAAGACTTTTGGTGCTTTTATGCAAAAATTGCGATATGATGTCGAAGATAAGAGGATAGAATTACAGCAGGCCGAAAAATTCCTAGAATATCTGAAATCCCGCTCTATTAATTAGGAATATCAAGTGGTTGGTCCCATCCCTTACGAAGATATAATTTATCCTCTTTTGCTCTAGTTAAATCGATAACAATAAAATCTCTACCTTTCAAATTTTTATCAAGTATATCGACAACATCGCGCCATTTTTTTGTATATCGTCGGGCAATGTTAACCAGCTCATCATATGTACCACTACCATTAAAGAGGACTATATAATCGAGATTGTTTCTTATTAATTTGGGACAGTCAAAGAAAGATTGTGTTATATATATGCTAGAAATATTACGATGCTTCCCTTCAGCAAAATAACATGCAATTTTTTTCTGGATTTTTTTAGGTTCGGTACATACATCTTCGAATACAGCTACTGTTCCTCTCTCAGGAGAAAAGTCATCAACCTTTTGCATTTTATCGGGTTTCATTGCTCGGAATGTAACATCTTCAAGATATGGTTTGGGGCTATTTGCAATTATTTTATAGCAATCTCGGAGATATTTATACTTGGGCTCATTAATTTGATGACCGATCAAAACCAAATCATCATTCTTAATATATCTCGTTCCACCTTTTTTCCCACTAAACAATCGATACATTTTATTTCCAAGTAAAAGGTTGATAACTTTGTTAGTTTTTCCAGATCTGGTTCGTCCACTGACCAATAAGTTGAAAGGCCATTGAGGTATTGAATTAAGGTCATTAAATCTCTCTATATTTTTGTATTCGTCAATATTCAAAATCATCCTTTCAACAGGGTCGAGCTTTTCTATTTTCATCTTGATCAAGCTGTCACTAATTATTATATCAAAAAATAATGGCACAGATTACTACTTATTCCTAAACAAAATTATGTTTATCATTTTTGATTTATAAATTAAATACTACATATTACATAGCAAGGCTGAGATTCGTGAACAACTTTCCGAATTTATAGGTTTTAAACCTGATGAGATTCGTTTTCCAAAAACAGAGAGAAATCAATGACTATTTCGAAAAATTATTGCAGATCAAAGAATGGCAACCAATATTGTGTGTTAGATGATTTTTATTTCTTACTCCGTACTGGATATAATGGTAAAGGTGGTGATTAATACATATCGGGTGGTTAATATGTGTAATTCAGAAAGAATGTAAAAAAGTTTTGTTGAATATCCCTCATAACATTACTAATGAAATCATAATACATCTTCAATATTAATTCAAAGATATTCCATTGGCACCAATAGTAAAGTATCTGAATATCCCGTTACAATTGGATTCAGAGTATGATATTATTAGCTAATGAGATAATATCAATTATCGTGTTTATTAGTATCTGTATTTTTCAAATATCCTTTTTTAAGCAATTCACTTTTGATATAGGGAAATAAATCACAATCGAACGGGATACAGATGAGATCTAT